CTCTATCTACCTACCACTTGTACTTTTTCGGAGATTAGGTACAAAAATTTAGAAAAATAGCCGAACTTGACCATGGTAAAAAGCATGAGTCGCAGATTTTGGTAATTTTTCGAGAGCTCATTAAACATTATGCAGTGGAATTAGAGCCTTTAGAAGGAAAATGAAATGCTGCATCGAATGCTACTAAGATCTCTTAGGAATGTTGATTCCACGAAAAGTGGCGTTCATTCGAAAAAAGCGACATTACTTTCGGAACGACCTAATAAATAAAAACCAACGCAATTACTTTGATCTAGATATCAAGCTAGAAAACAATAACTTCATAGCCAAATTATACAACAAAACAGATGATTTTGATTTTGAAGTTAAAGGCAGTGTCCCGGCAGATTTTGCACCTCCACCTTTTTGCATGTTTTAGGCCTTTTCGCCACGTAGAATCCGAATTGGAGTTTTGAACGGGCTGAAAAGGCCGATTTTGGGGCGTTTTCCTAATTCCAGAAAAGCAGCTTGGACGAGATTTTTAATGGAAAGTTGGGGGAGGTCCTCAGACGAAGATCCTGCCGCCTGTAATTCTTGCTTTGGATAGCATGCATCATGGGGGAGAGCGCTGGTGGGGTCCCGCGCCGAACAGTCGGGGAAGGCCGTCCAAGCGCGCGCCAGTTGGGGTTGCGCGCGCCGGTTCAAGGGTCATTTTCTCGGCCCAGGGGGAACATCACCCAGCCGGAGTGCGCCTGGAGGTCGATGGGGTGACCAGGAATCCCACCACACGTATATCCCCCAGGACCCGAATCTGCCGGGATACTGCCTTTAAGCGATTTATACATTACACCTCAAATATTTCCATACCATTAAAAAAACTACTATTCATACTGAAACACTTAGGATTGCTCGTACATGTACTTTCTTCCAAATTTTCTTGAAAAGATTTTGAAACTAAAAGAATATTTGGAATCAAATGGATAATCTCCTCTAGTGTTTGCTAGTGTTTACATAGAAATGATTTCATACCATATCATATAAATGTGATCTACACAATAATAAGAATATTAATAGAGTTTTCAAACATCTTTACAAATAATACAAACTATACTATGCTTGAACTATACACTGAGAATGATTGATGTTTGATACAATCCATTATCATGAAATTCATTCAAAAACACTCTAAACATGGGTATAACTTCATTTTGAATATTATGAACCATAGTGGTTATATATTAGGTTGGTCTTTCCATTTTTGAGTTTTCGCCATAATAAGTCATACACTTCTCATTCTAATCAGACATCAGGATACCGTTCGATAGAGCAAAGTAAGCTCTATAAGATGGCGTTTATGCTTTTGCACAAGATTTGGTCAATCTCGAGTTTTAAACCGAAATCAAAAAGTTTCGGATGCCCAGAAAACCGAAACATTTTCATATCTTCGTTCGAAAAAAATCCTGCAGACTTCTAACTCGCTCACGCATATACATTCCACATCGGACATTCATATGTGCTGTTGATGTATTTTTTATCAGCTAGAAATCAAGAGACCGAAAATTTCCATGTTTTTAGCAAAGTGATGCTGTGCTGTTTTCACACTAACAGTTGTATACTAGAAGCCCTTAGAAGTACTATCGGACATCTTTGCTCCCTATATGCTCTAGTTCACGAGAAATATCAAATTTAGCTTTCTCCACTCGGGTTTTTCACGCTTAAATCAACATATCTCGGAAACCAGAGCATGTAGAGAGCCAAAAATCTACGATAGTACTTACAAGGGCTTCTAGTATGCAACTGTTAGTGCAAGAACAGCACAGCATCACTTTCGTAAAAACATGGAAATTTTCGTTTTCTTGATTTCTAGCTGATAAAAAAATACAGCAACAGCACGTATGAATGTCTGATGTGGAATGTATATGCGTGAGCGAGTCAGAGGTCTGCAGTGAAAAATTTTCGGTTTTCTGGGCATCCGAAACTTTTTAGATTTTGGTTTAAAACTCGAGATGGACCAAAGCTTGTGCAAAAGCATAAACGCCATCTTATAGAGCTTACTTTGCTCTTTCGAACGTTATCCTAAGATCTATTTAGAATAAGAAGTAATATGAATTATTATAGCGAAAACTCAAAAATGAAAAGACTTATGGGACAACCTAATACAAGGCACTCATGTATTGTAGAGTTATTGTTATTTGACTATCAGAGTATCTTTATTTGAGAGTAAGTAATTCCATTACATTTATCTTATATATAAAGCTGAATGTCTGTCTGTATGTCTGTCTGTTTGTCTCTCTGTTTGTCTGTCTGTCTGTATGTCTGTCTGTTTGTCTGTCTGTTTGTCTGTCTATCTGCATGTCTGTCTGTTTGTCTGTCTGTACGTATGTTTCGGATAGAAAATTCCATTTGTGGACCGATCCGGACTAAACTTGGCATACATACACTTTGAGGCGAGTCGGGTGCCGTAGGCCCTTTTTCGCTATCGATCGATATCGACTTTTTGATTTTTTTGCAAAGTTTTCGTTACGGGGTTGGAAGTTGGCAGAGGGGGGGGGGGTGTGTGAGCACGCTAATTACTAACACAGCTGGAATAGGGACGGCATGTAGAAGTGGCACAGGGAATGGTTGTGGAGGGATAAGGATATGACCTTTATCATAGGGTTTTGACAAAGCCGGGCGGAGCCGGGTAGGCCAGCTAGTAAATTTAAAATAACAATGGATCATGTACGACAACGACTATATCCAAAAATTGTATTCTTACTTAGATTTCCTGGAATCTTACTTTCAAATTCATGTACATACTTTTTATGTAGACAAACTTACTTCTCAGTATCGAAAACAAGTTTTACAAACCTTCCTTCCTTACTGAGGAGTACCGGGGAAGGTCTGTGTATACTTTTACTCCCTCTAAGGGCAAGAAGGAAACGGAGTCTTTTGGTTATTTACACATTGCAATTGAAAACTTTTCTTCTCATTATTTTTGTCACCGATAGGCTCTCCCATAAGCGCTGCTACAAATCTGCAATATCTGTAACGTTGGAGCCGCGTGGTCTGTCGCAGATGCCACCGTGGAACCACCGTTCGGCGACATACAGTTCAACCCCTGACTGAGCCACATATCACACTCGGCTGCTTTCGTGCTCGGTGTACCTTCGTACTATTACAAGGGAAAGATTTGGTGATCGCGACCTTACATAATGAAACACGTCTTAATGTGTCTTGAAACGCTGATTCCATATCTGCTAATGCTACCTGCCAAGCGATTGCTCAAACTAAGTTATGAACTATGCATTTCGTTTTCCTTATGCCATACGAGGCTTAAAGAAGCTCTTTATAGCGGCCTTAAGTTTCGACTTATCCTCATCTTCAGAGGCCTAAAGTGGTGCAAGATTTAATCTTGTGCTCTAGCCCACCAAATGCCCTATCGACTTCAAGCTAATTTCAAACCATCACTGACTTCACTAACAATACTCGCAGAAAATGGATGACGAACCAAGCCTTGCTTCGCTTCACCGTTGGAGCACGATGGTGTTGTGCAACCACGTCTCTTTTTGTCAGTAATGCCAATAAGCCATATTAGGAAGCTTATGGGTCGGTGTAATCACTGCTGATTTATAGCTCTCATAACGGTTTAAACGGCAAGAAGTCATTCGTTGTCGTTAACATTCCCTTCTGTTGTCCATCGATGGGTTTCTCCGTAAGATCCAAAATGCTTCGGGAGTTTTCCGCGCAAATGTGTCGGTCTAGCAAACCAAATTTATGCACTTAATGTCATAGTCTGCATCACCATGTTGTTCATGTTTATGCTTCCCGAGTGGTGAATTTAGACTGCCACGTCGTTTATCGGCTAGGCTTCTTTGAGTCTAATACTTAGTGGTCCTCCAGCTTCTCCAATGTAGGACGCGCCACAGGTTACACATTCTTTCTGGTATTCACTTCAACTTTCGCGCAGTCGCCGACATTGCCACACGAATAAACTATACATTCTTTTGTAATGCAAAACTGCTGTGGAGTCTATTGCGTACAAGCTTTCTCTTGATGTTAGCGCTCGGTATATCTACTGAAATGATATCGTTGCTCAAATGTGCTCGCTTACAGCTTCGCCGTAAAGCAACACTTATTCGATCAGAGATGAAAGGTAGACCTACTCAAAGGCAGCGTCCTGGCAAAATTTCGCTTCCCGGTTCTCACCTTTCCGGAGCCTTCCCGCCGTGCTGAAGCCATATCTGAGCTTTTCAGCGCTTGAAAACGGCAAAAATGAGCTTTTCCAAAGCTCTCCGCGTCTGCGTCCGCTCCAAATTACGTATAAGAAGTGCGTGGAGTCTGGAAATGGGCGGCGTCCGCAAGACTTCCGGAGCGGATTTTTGGCTTTCCAAAAGCGCTTTTTCGCTCTAAACTTCACCAATAAATAGGTGAAGGGTCTACCGTCGCAACAGTGCAAAATCCCGGTATCCATCATTTTGAGGGGACGCTGCGCCTTGCGCAAGAAACTTTCCATTTGGTTTACATGAAAGGAATTAGTAAATACAAGAAAAGGAATTCTGAGAAACATTTTGAAGTCCACAACTGACTTTTATATTTCTCTAGATTTTCACTGGGAAAGAAGTGAAGTAGTCATAGCAGCAGTGCTCACTGAAGTCACGGTACCCGTTATTTGACGCCAAAAACCCTTCGCTTTTTTCTCGCACACAAAACGAAGAAAGCATCATGGTTTAATCTCACAATTAATTTCGTAATAGAGAGAACGCAGTGACCACATTTCATTGATGCAGGATTGCGATAAGAGTCCTAATTGTAAGAAGGCCCAAAAGCCGCAAAAAACTGTTTTCAACATCAAAACAGCTTCTTATTGCAAAGTATATTCTCGGAATTATGCCGAAAAGCACACTACCGAAGCTCCCCGACTAAATCTCCTCGAAATAACAGCACATTCTTAGCCAGTTTTTCATGGGTAGTTCACTTGATCTGGCCGCCAGACGTGAAATGGAGTGTTGGTGTGCAATAGCAGATAAACAGAGTTAAAAATGACACAAATCATTTTGTGCAAAAGAACACTGGCTAGGGCATATAAGAACATAGCTCGCAAAAACAGTTTCGGCAACTCTTCAAAGAATAAGGGACCGGCCATCTATTTCAGGAGGTGATTCCTCGATGTCTGTAATTCCTGCATATCCTGTAATTCCTCGACTTCCGATGTACGCACTAAGGAGCCCTTTACAAATTCCACTATACATTGTTTTTTCGCAATATACATTGTTACAGTGGCAGGAACCACGGAATCGCAAGGATTGCAGGAATTCACAGATATAGTAGGGCAGGTCCCCAGTAGTTGACTGGTTGAATCCCTCTCTTTGAAAGAACCCTAAGCAAACCTTACTCTCGATACATCAAAACATGTATTCAGACCCTAAAATCCAGCTGAGAGACCCCCCCCCCCCCCACTTTCGCAAGTTTGCGTTTATATCAAAGGACGGCGAATGCCTGCCTAGGCGAGTCCTGGGCAGAAAGGACGTTGTTTACCGTAAGCAAATTTCACTGACATCAGTGACATTCCTAATAGCTTTCTATTTGAAACTTGTTTTATTAACGCTTAAGAAGATCAATTTGTTATTCTGTTCGTTTGAAATGTATTGAAAAGCTCATTTTAAAAGTCAGCTGGTTAAATCCTCTGTGTTAGCATTGTTTCTAGAACTGGTGTCTTAGCTCGTATGGCATCTTGAATTTCGGTTTTTGTGATTGCTTTCGTAAGTTCGCTTCTCAATGCAATCGTTTGCTGTGCTCCAAAGTTGAAGTTTTGTTTTGTCATGACGATTTCTTAATTTTTAGCTGTCAACTGGGTTCACAAGATGCCTGAGATCATAGGTAAGTTAATGAAGCCTGATGGCTCAGTCGCCACTGAACTCGAGAAGCAGGTCTCCCAAGCCTTGGTAGACCTGGAGAGCAGCACCGACATCAAAGCCCAACTTCGTGAGCTCTACATCGTCGGAGTTCGGGTAAGATCTTAGTTATGAATAGTTCAGTTAGCAAATTAATGGTGCTAGTTAAATGTTTAGTATTTGCTTTTCGATTTGCATTAACGTTTGCCACTTTTCTCTGGTACTTATTGGAGTCATTACTTTCAAACAGCCATTTTGTTTTGTGGAAGTACCTTGGAGTGTAACCACAGTTCAAAATTCAACTCAGTATAACTTTGTACTTTTCGGAAATTTTTTCATTTATTTCTCCTTTAGGAAATTGAAATCGGAAATAAATCAGTCATCGTCGTATATGTGCCTGTTCCACAATTGAAACAATTCCACAAGGTTCAAGTGCGACTTGTTCGTGAGTTGGAGAAGAAGTTCGGAGGAAAGCATGTTCTCTTCCTGGCTAAGGTGTGTTTACGAACCCTTTTTGAGCTTTCATTCGCCATATACTTAATTATATATTGAACAAATCATGCTTACTCGTGGAGCTAGGATCTATTTTGTGATACTTCTTTTGAAAAACTAATCGATTTCATGCTTTGACTATGAGGAAGGCGGGAATGTAAGACAATGTTTTTATCGTTCTGTCCATCTTTTACTCCTTTCTTCGATAAAGAAGTTAGCAGACCCTACCTTGACAGCATTTTGGATCGCGGATCAAGCTGAAACTAGGAACTTTGCTTGAAAATTCGTCCCTAGATAATCCTTATGAGTTGTGCGTGTTAAGTTGGTCTTTCCTTTTTGAGTTTTCATTGGATGGGAAACCTCTTGGTTGAAACCAAGCCCACACGTGGTTTTACAGCAACAGTTCTTTCCTATGCTTCTCTTTATATTGTTTTTTTTGTTCATCTGAAGAATATAAACAAAGAACTAGGCATAATGTGTCTACTCAAATGTTTTCGGCTTTTCTGTGCGCATACTTCTCGCTAGCTACGGTAAGAGAGAGAAAAATATTTGCTCAGAAAGTATATTAACTTGCGGTAGAGGATAATCTTTATAACCCGTGCTTTAGACCAACACCTTGCATTTTCCTTTAAATCTGGAACATTTTTTAAAAAATTTAGCTTTCATAACACATTCTTCTACTGTTATCTTCAACTTTGTTGCATCAGCTGATTTTGCTTGTCGAATTTGTTCAACTGCACCAGCTAGTCTGACTTGCTTTCGTCTAAAGCACCTGTTTTCCTGTTTATCTTTTTGAATACTATAATGCATTAGGTGTGGGTTGTTCGTAAATACTATCAGTCCCACATATGCTGCTGGGCAGAGAAATCCTGTTTCATCTGTTTTGGGACTAGGAGGTCGAGTACTTTTACTATTGGTGTGGCTGAACAAGCTTGAATTTGTTCTTTACCGTTTCACAGTAGCAAATCATCTAAAATCACAAGTAATTAGTTGTCCAGTGTCAAATTCCTACAGACATAAACTTGTGTAAAGAATTGAGATTTATTTTCACTTTTCAGCGTCGTATTTTGCCAAAGCCGCTGCGAGGCTCAAAGAAGGTCCCGATGAAGCAGAAGAGGCCTCGTTCACGTACACTTACTGCTGTCCATGAAGCCTGGCTCGACGAAATGGTATTCCCCGCTGAAGTTGTTGGTAAACGCACGCGAGTTAAGCTTGATGGAAAGAAGCTTTTGAAGGTACGTATGTTTCATCTCTTTGATTTAGTGTTGTTTCCTTCATTCATTGTTTCCCTTACTGTGAAAATGTTGAAGTTAAAATATTTTTGTGATATTTTGAGTATGATAACATGCACGCTCGTCTCTCTTGGCAAATCGATAATGTCACTTTTCTTCTCTTTTTTTTTCAGTTTGCATTTCATTGAGTTTGTGTCACTTTCTCGTGCCCAAATGTGACTAATAGATTCTGCTTTGTTCCTGAGCGCTCCCCTTCTTGATACAAAATGAGATGCCTAGTTTTGGGGCTTTTCGTCAAGATCAGAGAATGAGCAGATCAAGATTGGATAGAGGGTTTGGAGTTCGAAAAGTTATTTGCATGGAATATACGAAAAATTTTGGCATACAAACTCTGTTTCGACTTTGAGAGCTGTGCCTAAGCATCTATTTAATCAACGCGGTCAAAATGGATATGAGCGCTGGCGCGCTATCTGTTGCTACATAAATGCTCTGCTTTTAATCGTTCGAATATCAAGTTGTTTCTCCGCAATCCAAAAATTATACTGTGCTTCTGAGTCGGACCTGTTGCCAATATTTTTTTGAATAGCAACTCGTATAAGTGCTGAAATCAACAGTTACCATAGACAGTGTGTTTTGTAAGTATCACTCTAATCTGTAATGGATTTTGAAGTGAGATGAGTGAGAAAGTGAAGGCAGTACTCGTTAAGTTCCCAGCTGGATTAGATGGAGAATCCTGGGACCTTAGCACAAGTGTATCTGGTACATTGTTAATTCCTCTCAAATAAAAACCGTTTTGCTTGCCATTGAGAACCTTCTAAGTAAGAGGCAGCTTGTCATATCTTGTCATACGGCGAATATAAGCTGTCTCTATATTACTGCGGTAGTTTTCTTTCTTTCATCCTGTTTCTTCTCAAATTCTGAAATTGTTTGATTGTAACCATAAGAAATGAGTGGGAGTCAACTATCAGTATGATTAGGCATTGGTTCTGCTTACAGAAAATTTTTGCTTCCTTAATTTTCTTCATCTACATTTTCATTTTCATTTCATCTTCTTATCACAAATCTGATCTCCATACTCTGCGTTTTGCTTGAGGTTGGGCAAGAAAAGTGAATTTGCTTATTGTCAGGCTTTTTCCATTTCATTTTTGCCACCTATGCTCAGATTTTTCGTCCAAAATATTTCAAATTCGCAATACCGTTTGTCATGTACAAATGCTCCTTTTTTTTATCATCAGGGCTATGTTCTCATTGGTTTCTAACCTGTTTTCACCCTTTTTCTAATCTCTTATCGCTCATCTTGAGTAGCCATCAGTTTTTATGGCGGTTTTTTGATGCCTTTCTATCACTTCCCTTTTTTTCTTCAGGTACACCTTGACAAAGCACAGCAGACAAACGTTGAGCACAAAGTCGACACTTTCGTTGCCGTGTACAGGAAGCTCACAGGAAAAGAAGTTGTGTTCGAGTTCCCCGATCCAATCTTCTAAATTGTTTTTGTTGACATAAATTGTTATTATTTTATGAGAGTTTACTTGGGCTTTTTCTAATTTTTGCAGCAAGACAAGAAGAAAGTTTTATTTGGAACATGCCATGCCGATCCATTCCACTCGCATCCAAGCAAGAGGCCGCACACTGGTTTTGAAGCTGATGAAAGTGGTCTGGTATGGCGTATTCGCTATCCCTTTACTTTGAATTTTTTCTAGGCTGCCCCAGCGTTTGTACAATACAAAGTTATTTAACCTTCCTCGAATGCTTACCATCAGATGACAATAATTCACGCAGACGAACCCTTGCTGAAGCTGTTTTTGGAGCGAACTTTCGTTGCTGACACAGGGCCTTTGAAGTATAGGAAGTAATCATTATGCCTGTATTTGAAGATAGAGTCGAGAAAGAAAAATGGGAGGAATATGGGCGACAGACTTTCCCCATGACTGTCGCAAAAAATTGTGGCAAAGAAGAATATTCTGTCTATAAAAAAATTTTTTTACCGATGTTAGAGGTTGGTTTCAAACGAAGGCTGTTGCTCATAAAGCGAGGTGTATGCAGAGTTGATATTTCTGGTAACGAGAGATCGACCTTGTCGCATCCTCTTTGCACTTGGGACACTCAAATTCTTCAAGGATCCAGTTCTCTATGATGAAACTTCTCTTTCAAATAACTATGTTGGACTCACACTAGTGCCCTTCACACCGCGTCTTACAAGGGAGGTCCGATTAGTCGAGGTGGCCTTTTCAAATGAGTCTTAGAACTTTGAAGAGCATCAAACAATGATTCCAAATGTGATTTCACTATCTGCTGAGCGCTCTCTGCATGCCGAGTTATGAATATTTTCTTGGTGCCAAAAGTGAACCCATAATCTAGGTAAAATCAATTTTTACGGTCTTCAGTGCCCAAATAGAGCATTATTGAGTGTTTTATACAAAAGGTATTTTTCAACTGGAGTGCTCTGATGACTTTGGACCATTTGAGAAATTCTGACGATTTTTTTTTCAAATTAGGCATTTTTTTCAACTCAAAGTTGCTCATAACTCGGCGCCCAGATGCGCTCGGCAGATAATGAAGACAGATTTGGAATCAGCATTTGATGCTTTTTACAGTCGTATGATTTTCATGTAAAAAGGCCACTTCGACCAAACGGAACTTCCTTGTTAGTTCATTGAACCGGACAGGCTTATAGGCAGTGGATGGGCAGAATCCAACAGCTCAGGATTTTAACGCGGTAGGGTCCTTATCGCCGAAGTATGAAAACAGTCAGTCCCGGTTGCACAGCATGCTTTCCCTGCCGAGAAAATCGCTCTCAAACTTACACGCGCAGGCCAATCTTACACGTATGTGAACAGTTGGCAATTTCCTTCTCACCATTGGAGGCTACCCGCCGCAACGCTATAACCATTGGGTCCTGCAACGATTTAGCGTCATCGGGCCTTGCTTCACTCGTCCAATTCCAAAGAAAAGGACATTAAAAACGCTTATTTTCGCCGTTTTTAAGCTTTCAAAAGTGGATTTTCGGGATCAGCGTATTGAAAAACCCCAGGTAAGCGCAAATTTGACTAGGTTGAGATTTGCCGAGCCACTGCCTTTAAAGGCAGTGTCCGGGCAAAAACTCGATTTTGGGATTTTGTGCTTACCCGGGCCTATTCGCTATGCTGAACCCTACAATCCACATTGGAGAGCGCGAAAACGACGAAAAAAGGCTCTAACACTGGAGGGAAATCAGCAAGTGGGCGGGGTCTTTCCCACTGTGAGTTCACGCTCCCAGCTTCGGGGGCGATCTTTTTGATTCCGGTTTCAAGTCATTCATTTGCACTTGATCGGTAGTGATGTCAGGGCGGCTAACGGATTCGAGAAAATTGCTCTGGAAGCTGGAAGCGTGAATTCACAGTGGGGAAACCCCGCCCACTTGCTGATTTCCCTCCACTGTTAGAGCCCTTTTTCGTCGTTTTCGCGCTCTCCAATGTGGATTTTCGGATTCAGCATAGCGAATAGGCCCGGGTGAGCACAAAATCTCAAAATCGAGTTCTTGCCCGGACACTGCCTTCAAAATGCCGCGTCCATGTGATTCCTGTACTATTGAGTCAATTGATAATTTTTTAGTCCTTATTTAGATAACTTTCTTTCTCTCTCGCTCTAAATTAGCGGAAGAGCCGGGTTTGTTGAAAATACTGTTGTACACCGAAATTATAGCGTCGGATGGATATGTCATGCAACCCACATATTCGAAAAGAAACTGTAAAGACAAGCAAAAAACCGTATGAACCATCAACGTGGCTACCTTTCAATCGTTTTAACACGTCAGCTCCAGCATAAGGCCCTTATTCGAAGCTGACATGTTAGAATGATCGAGTGACAGCCACGTTTATGGTTCATATGGGAACAATTCTCGGGGATGCACCATATTTTATGCTTGCCTTCTATTTTTGGAAGGGTCACTGCCGCAGTCAAACGGTGATTGATCCAAGCACAGCTTGAAAAAAAAGCGTATTATTGCTACTTGGAATCCCACGAGACAACATCGAAAAGCTGATAGTACGTAATAGACTTTAAGACAAATATTGTCTCGCACGACATTACGTTGTGCGCCTGTACGGAAAACTCAAAGACTGTGAAGTGTGGTTGTAAATGCACTCAAGTGCACGAAGTGCTTCATACAAGGTAATGTATGAAGCAAAATAATGTATCGAACTTTGGACCCTATATTGTTCTGATCTTGGTAAAGTCGATTGGGGAAATCGTCCGGGTCGCGGTAGGCCGACCGCACGCTGGCGTGCCCTGCAACGCAACGCGGCTGTCGAGTACGGGTGCTATGAAGACTCATGCGCGCGAATGCCAATGTTAGCTCGCAAGAGACACGCTCGCCTGCGCTCAATCTTGGCGATTCCGTGTAGTCACCTATAGCTTTCTTGTACGTACGCCTTCTTCACCATATTGTAGAGCTGGCTTCAACTTATATATACAGTGGGGATCATCAATCGCTCTTCGGTACTGTAAGAATACGGTAGAGATTTTCAGCTTATAGCGTCGTTACACAGGGTGTCCCAAAAAATGTGCCTACTTTTTGATTGTTAAAAACTCCCTTGTAGGGAAGTCTTTCGAGAAGTTTTAGGTACCGTTTTATAGAGCTTTCTTTAACGTAGACTTGCAGTATAGAACGAATCATTTATTACTGTGGGATTATGGTAGAAACTTCAAGAAGGGTCTTGGTCCATGAAAGGCCTATTTCCCCTCAGAAAGGAAACGGAACAGCCTGAAAACTTTCATGCTGAGCTAATTAGAGTTGCTTATTCTAGGTGTGAAGTTCGCAACTTATCATGATGCTCCATTAAAAGCTATGTGATGTAAGCAGTAGCGTCCGCTTTTTCAATGTTCCTAAAAAGTGCGGTTACAGCGTTTGAAAGCTTCGCAATCTTGTACATAGTTGAGTATTGAACTCAGCGTCCACGAAAACCCTATTACACAAGTCTGCACATTTTTTTGAAAATTTTGAAACGGAAGCTTTTTACACAATGACACCATATACTTGGAGTTCTACCGTAATCCTACAGTAGTGAAGAGTTATCGGTGATATATTGTAAATCTAAGTTGAAGCCAGTTCTACAAAACAGTGTTCAAAGCTTCTCGAAAGACTGTGCATTACAAAGTTATTAACAATCAAACAGTAGGCATATTTGGAATACTATAGATTAGCCGTGATGAAAGGAGAAGTTCAAAAATTCGAGAAGTTGTACACCAGGGTTCGCGCGCTGGTTTCATGAATACATTTAACGACTTTGTAAAGCTTTTGAAAATGTAATCACAACTGGGAAGCAAGAGCGAAAATGACCAGTTTCGCACGTAATGGTACGCACGGACAGGGAACGGGAAGCGATAGTCTACAGAAACGCATATGCTTACTGCAGGATACCTGGTAACCGTTGCCATTCGTTAATACACGTATCACTTAATGCGATTTAGTATGCTGATTACGAATCTGATTTCACTATCTGCTAAGCGATTGTGGAGTAAGTTACGAGCTTTTTTTCGCAAAACTTTTGCAGGCGCAATCGAAATCATTGTGATTTGAGTATTGAAAATGAGCGCAAATGAAAGCTTATCCATGTTCAAACCGATTGCGTTCTTCTTCAAATGCTGCTGCGAAATGAAACAGGAAGTTTGAGCGAGCGGGTTCGCTCTACTAAGGCCTAAGGCCCCGGACAGACTACACGCGATTTGATCGTCGCGACTCAATCGCCGACATTTCCATTCATTTTCATTTCACATTCAAAAATTTCGGGCTGTAAAAGTATCACAACCGCAATGCAAGTTGATCGGCATGGAATGATGTTGGGGTGGAGGACATTAGGTCGCCGAAAGAGGGCGGTCCCCGCGGTCATTTGCGACAAATACGCACCCTTGTACATACGCGGACATGCGTTCCTGCAGGAAATCCGCGCGGGACTCTTCCAAATTCGGCGACCTAATGTCCTCCACCCATGATGTTGTAACAGTTGTCTCGTCGCGATTCAGTCGCGACGATCAAACCGCGTGAAGTCTTTCCGGGACCTAAAGCATACCTCCGGATCCCGTCGTTACGATTTTCGATCGCGACGAGACTGCCGGAGCGACCGCTCACCGCGTGAAAATCGCTCATAGCTTGATTACCGGACATACACAAAGCGATTTCATAGACGACGCTCACACATCACACCGCATTATACGCACTTTTGAAAAATTTGCGCTAAAGCATTTTTAAGGAAATGCGAACAGAATCTGCGCCATATGCCTTCAGAGAACATAACATCAAACGAGGAAGGATATGGATTCGCACTCATCCTAGTATTTACCAACGTTTTTCGCCGGCGCAAGTTAGTAGCTGCAATGAAATCGGCTACTAGTTCATGAGCTTTTGAGTTCACTCTTTCTACCATTGATAGGCATATACGTTTCGTTACAATAAGACCATGCTTGCGGCTCTGCAAAAAACTCTGCGTAGGCATATTTCAACAAGAGTGCTGCGAGCT